CGGAGTCGCGCGAGAGAGCGCGACCGCCGGTAGTCTCCACCTCGTTCCCTCTTTCGCACCCGTCCCTATTCTTCGTGTCTTCGACTCTCTCTCTGTCCCTCCACCCCTTCGTTTCTGCCTGTTCCTCGATTCTCTGTCCGTACGACGAAGAATGTCGCCGTCGCCGGCGTTCGAATCGATCGGTCGGTCTCGGTGCGCGCGGGTCGGTCTCGGTGCGCGCGGGGGGGTCTCCCTTCTCGTGGCTCGCGCCACCTCCCCATCCTCGCGGAGAGCCTGTCCTCCCTGCCGCCTTCTTCTTCGTCGTTCCCTCGGATCTCCTCTACCATATTCGCCATCAGCATTACACGAGCGCACTTATTTCTTCTGTAGGTAACTCTGCTTCCTCGCGATCTCTCTCCGCTTCTCGACCACCCTCTTTTGCCCCTGCCCAACCCTTCCCTGCCCTCTCGTGCCGCGACTCCGACTCGCTACCACCTTTTCGTCCGCCCCTCCTCAATCTTCTCCTCCTCCTCTTCTCCCCTTCTCCTCTTCCTTCTGCTGTTCTCGAAGCATACAAGATATACCGAACCCACCGACACTCTCCTCGACTCTCGGTAAGCTCCGAGCACGAGTGCTTAATATCTTTGTGCCGTACCTGAAGCAACCGTATCCACCGATGCTTCTCGTGCCCAAACTTTTCCCTTCGGGCGCATTTCCCTCGTTAATTTCTACCGCCACTCGTCGCGCGAAAAATATGTCGCGCCCTCTGCGATTTTACCCGACGTTGCGCCTCCGCGTTCCAGGCGTCCTCCAAAAGTAACGTCGCAAGAACAACGTCCGGGCCGAAAGCTTGAATGGACCGCGTAGATGGTGGTGGTGGTGATGGTGTCGGTGTACGCGCGAGTTCGTTGGCGCGAAATCCAAGGGGAAAAATTCCAGAGAGGACCCCTCTGTCCGATTAACTCGTCACGGACGATAGTTCGAAGGCTTGTAAGATAGGCGAGAAAGAAGCGCGAAGGGGGATCGTCGTTTGGCCTTTTTCTAACGGTCAACCCCCGATCGGTTCTCTCGTCAGCCCGGTGACCCAGATTCACGAGGAAAGACCCTCCGCGTTTGTTACGAGTACACGTACAACGCTTACGTACATGTATATGGATACGTAACAGGCTTCGCAGACACGTATTCCTCCACCGCAGCTGATCCCTTGACCTCGTGCAACCCCAAACGAAACGAGACCCCCTGGGCCTAACGTTCATTGACCATCTCCCGCTTCGACGAACGGGGGCCGATCGTTTTGCCGTTCCACTTTTCCTCGCAAAATCTGTACGCGTTTTTCGATCCACCCTCCTTCGATCGTGAACGCTTCTCAAAATCTATACATATACCTTCGACCTGCGGAGGTCGAAGAGGCGCGATCCTGATCTAAAGATGTGGCAATTTCGAAGAAAAGAAAGAGAGAAAATTTCTACATTTTTTCACTGTACAGTCGAGTTTACAGCCAATTTGGAACGATAAGAAATCCTTCGCGTCTTTACTTCTTTTCAATTGTTCGTCTTACCGTCTTTGGTCCTTGATGGGTCTACGTTCGTACACGTCGTTATTAATCACGGATACTCGAACAGACTTCCTTTGACAAGATTTCGTTAAGAACGGGTCAAAGGGATAAGAATATTTTCCGATAAGGAATAAAATCGTATCGTTTGGGAGGACAAGGCGATCGATCGCGGGATCCAAGTCCCTCGTCCGAGGAAGGTCGAGGATCGGTAGGGGACCGATGTTTGCCACGAACCAAACCACGTCCAATTAGTGGAATTAATACCGGTTGGCTTTGGGGGAGCTAATGCCTCTGTGTGCATACCTACGGGTATGCACGTCGATGACTGCACTTTCCTTCGTGCGTAATGAAGGACAATCCCGTCGGTCGTACCAGCTCGATGCATTCGCTCGTCCAAGCAACCGCTGCCTCCTCTTGTTTTGCGGTCACGAGAAAATATCTCGAACCGAGCAGCTTACGACTTTGAGCGTAATCCGCTCGTAACGGTGCTTGGCTGTCTTTCGTTGGCCATGGAACATTTTCGTTCGCGGCTGTCCTCGCTTCCTGTTACCCCTTTTGGCTACTTTCGCCGGTTCACCGTTCCTTTCAACTTACCTATCCTATTCTTGGAACGAAAACGCAGCGGTATATCGCTCATCGATTCAATATACCTGACAAATACTGTACGTGACTATAGAATGCAAAGCGAATCGAAAACGCGACGATGAAAGTTGCATACGGGTCGAAAAAGTAGCAAGTAAGAAAACGTAAACTTCATCTACGGATATTTTCGAACGACTCACCGTTCACCCGTCCGTTCACGAGAGCGCGGTTCGCTAGCGATGCTCCTGTTACTGTTCATTGGCCACCCTGCGCGAAATGTAAGCAGAGCATGTTGTTACGTAACCCTGGTCATTGTTTGCGCTTCATAGTCATCGTCGTCGTCATGATCGTGGTCGTCACGAGATCGTAACAAAGAGTACACGCAAAAAAGATGAGAGAAGGAGACATTTTTTCGTAGACGAAGGCATTGT